TATAGGCATTGTAAGGCCAAGAAAAAGGATTTCATCATATCTGACTTCGGATCTACAAGTTAAGAACCTCGAGGACAAGAGAAGATATTATTGCATATACTTCTTTGAGTGATGACTTCTTGTCATAATGTCATGTTTCTACTCTCAACATCCCAATCTGAAGAGTCTTTGGGGAGAGGTTGTATTGTTGGTATTGGGTAGGCTCAAAAGGCTCGTTTATTTGAATTCAGAGTTTTTATGAATTGATGATCTTCTTGGCATCACCACTTTTTCTCTTTTTTTTTTTTGCTTGCTAAGGGTCTTTCTTTTATGACCATCAGAGTCCCTTAAAACATTTATTACAATCTCTTTTCTTTTGCTCATTCTCACTTGTTGTGTTCTATGATCTCTCATGATCTTGACTTTTCTTTGTCATGACTCTTCTTTTTTTGTCATTTTGAGCTTTCTTTTGAACTCTCTTTTTCTTTCTCATTTTTTCCTCGGGCATTTGGCCTTGCTTTTACCAAGCACACTGCTGTTTCATGCCCCCGACTCTTTTGTTTTTGATCTTTTGAATTCTAAGAACTCTGTGTTCTGCCTTTTTGTTTCTTATCTATTAAAGTGGATCATATGCTCATGCTCCAGTGTGAAGAGATGATCACCAATTTGGGGTTCTGAAATAAATATTCAGGCTCAATTGGGTTTTGCCAAAGGTAATGTGTTTGGGTATAAGAAATGAAGTGCTCTTCTTCCTTTTGGGATGTCTTGAGCTTCCATATGACTTTATAAGAAGTTATCACAGAAAGATTGATGCAAGAGTATGCAATAAAATCTTTCTTGATCCTATTCTCCATAGCAGTCAATCACAAACTTCCTGATTTGCCCTAATATGGGGTGGTTTTTAACGGGGTTGTTTTGGAAAAACTTCTGCACTATTTTGGCTCAAATTTGGCTTGCAAAGGGTAAGCATGTGTGTAGGATGGTGAAATGACTGCCTTTCATTGTTTCAATCCATGTAATCATTGCGAACATCCCCTATTTCCTTCGGATGAGTTTTTCTCACTCACTTCTCAATTTTGACTTTGAGTGTATAAGGGACGTGTGTGGATATGGCTTACCTTTCATCATTTGAAGGTCTTTCCATTCGATTTGATCCAAACTTTTTCTATGAAATTTTTCAAAGTTTTTTGTCAAATCATCCGTTTTAAGGAATTTTGATGCTTAGTGCATTTTTAAAGACAGCGTGTTTCAAGACTTTTTATTTGAAACATTTATGAGGTATTTTCCTTTTCAAAACAATCTGTTTTGTTTTGCTTAGCCTTAGTGTCATTCCATTTGGAGAAGAAAAAGTTTGATTTTTCTCTTAAAAATGCAACTTCTTTAACATATGCTCTCACGATTTGAGGATACCTGTCTGATCAACTTACCGAGATCCCTTTTGTTTGCATGTTTTGCTTTGGTCCATTGGGGATTCTTCCTTTGTTGCTCCATTTTCTTTGTCTTCCTGGAGATGATAAAAAGGAAAGCGCATTAGAGAACATCAATGGAAAATAGAATTGGAAGTGATACTTCCCTTTACTATTTGATAACTCCATTGGGAATTCTGAAATCATCAACTGGTTCGGATTCTTTTTGCTTTCTTCTGCAAAATCGATAAACATATTCATGAAATGCATGATATGCATATATGCGTGATATGCACATGTTCTAAAATGACCCGAATTTTTTCTTGAATGTTTGTCTTCATTTCATGGGTAGAAAATCTTGACAGCATCTGCATTTACAGGATAGGCCAATTCTGTTCCTGCCATATCTACAAGAATCAATGCTCCTCTAGGAAGAACTTTCTTGACAATGTATGGACCTTCATAATTCGGAGTGAATTTGCCACGAGGATCCGAATTGTTGAAGATGACTTTCTTCACTACTAAATCCTCTGTTTTGAAATTTCTCGGTTTCACTTTTCGATTAAAGGATTTAGCCACTCTTCTCTGATAGTCTTGCCCATGGCATATAGCTCTTAATCTCTTTCCATCGATCATGTTGAGTTGTTCATATCTTTGTTGAATCCACTCAGCTTCTGAAAGCTTCAATTGGGATAGTATCCTTAATGAAGGAATTTCTGCTTCAATAGGTAGCACTACTTCCATTCCGTAAACCAATGAAAATGGGGTTGCTCCAGTTGATGTTCGAATTGAAGTTCGGTATGCCATCAGAGCATACGGTAACCTTTCATGCTAATCACGATAATTTTTAGCTGTCTTGGCCAGTATCTTCTTGATATTCTTATTTGCTGCTTCAACTGCTCCATTTATTTGTGGACGATATGGAGATGAGTTCAGATGTCGGATGTAGAAGTGTTCGAGTAAGTCATCCACAATCTTGTTGTTTAGATTTGAGCCATTGTCCATAATTATTGCTTCTGGAACTCCATACCTAGCAATGATGTCCCGCCTAATGAATCTTGCAACATTCTTGGCAGTATCATTCGTGTAGGAGTTTGCTTCAATCCATTTAGTAAAATAGTCAATAGCAACCAGGATGAACCGGTGTCCATTTGAGGCCTTGGGGTTGATTGGACCATTCATATCAATACCCCACATTGAAAATGGCCATGGCTCGGACATTTGATGTAGCTCGTTTGGCAATGCATTGATTTTGTCTCCATAAACTTGACATTGATGACAACATCTCACGTGTTGGATGCAATCTGATTCTATTGTCATCCAATAGTATCCCAACCTCATAATTTTTCGGGCTAGAAGATGTCTATTCATGTGTGGTCCACATTCACTTTCGTGAATTTCTTTCTGATCTGTTCAGCTTCTGTAGCATCCACACATCTTAGTAGGGTTGAATCAAATGATTTCTTGTAGAGGATTTGACCACTGAGAAAGAATTTGTTGGCTATCTTCCTTATAAATTATTGACACCTAATTTTTAGCCGACGCGTCATTAAAAACAGAAAATTCGAGATTATGGTTTCCGATCGCGACGGAACCCGTTTCTTGAACAAAAAGTGTCGTTTTTTAATTTTGTTTGTTGGCCTAGCTTCTATAGACAATTTTCTAATCATTTCATACAAAAACCTGAAAAGTCAAAATGTTGACTTTCGAGATGACTTTTTGGTCAACCCTTTGACCAAAAGTCAACCACAGGTCAAATTGGGGCTTTTCGCATAAGAAGATTCCTTTCAAGTCCAATTTTACTTTAAAGTGAAAATTTTAGAAAAATTCAAAGATTTGATCATAAAATCAAGCTCCTAGTGAAAAGTCAACTAGGGTTTGACTTTTGGTCAAACCTTTGATCAAAAAAATTGAAAAATACAAAAATCCAAAAATCATCTTATTTTACATTCAATTTGCCTATGGCATTTGAAATTTTACAAAAATCGATTTAGAATCAACTTTTTCCCAATTTGCGGAATTTGGTTCAAATCGGCCAAAAATGAAATTACTTCATTTCTAGTCATTTTTTAGGTTAGTTTTCTTCACGACATTTGATCTAGAGGTCATCTTATATTTAATTTTGGAACAAATTTTGTAATTCCAAGCCAAACGCAAAAACCCCCAATTTTGGCCCTAATTAGTGATTTGGATCGATTCTTCATGATTTGCGCAATTGAGGCACGAATGAGCCTAATTTCTTATATCAAATCCAAATTCAAAATCAATTTTGGAAGATTCACATGAATTTGAGCCAATTGATCAATTTTGTGATCCAACGATTGAGAAGTCTAAGAGTAATTGGTCTAATTAGTGCAATTCAACTTGACCCACTCTAGACTAATATTCAATTTGATGAATTGAGATTCAATTTGGCTAATTGGACTTCAATTAAATTCGTTAGTCTAGCTTGGCCATGCAATTACCCAAATTCAAGAACAATTGAGCTAAACAAGTTAAATTCGATCAATTTGTGCATGAATTTCAAATCGGTTCAATCCAATTTGATCGAATTCAATATTGATGGGGTCAATTAATCATGATAGAGATCAAATTGTACAAAATTGGAACAAATGGAACCAAGGATTGAACCGGTTCAACCTGGCCAAACTCGGGACAAACCGGTTCAACCCGGTTTGATTCGAATTGAACCGGTCTGATCGGACTGGCCATTTTCCGGTCGAAAATCCGGCGATCGGCGGTCCATTCCGACCAGCCAAGGCCGGCCACATCCCTTTGAGCCCAAAAATGACAAAAATGCCCTTAATTGAAAATTACGAAAATGCCCCTAAGTGAAATTACTAAAATGACATTCCTTAAGGATTAAGCAAATTAATTAGGGGATAAGCAAATCAATCATGGCCATTCATTTAGAATTGATCATGTCCATCCATAATGCCATGTCACCAATCCTTAGCCCTTAAGGAATATTCTTAATCATTAAGGATGCATTCTAGGCCATTGGATCAATCTAAGGGCTAGGATTCAAAGTTGAGGGGAGTATATAGTTTTTTTTCCCTCCAAAATTGAAAAGGACTCTCATTTTTCATATTTGAATTCTCTCTCCTTTCTCTCTCTCTCTCTCTCTCTCTCTCTCTCTCTCTCTCTCTCTCTCTCTCTCTCTCTCTCTCTCTCTCTCTCTCTCTAGCTCACCAATCCCTCTCTCTCTCACTCTCTCTCGTCCGCCGGTCATTTCACCCCTTCGCCGGCTGTTTTCCGGCAAGCCACCGCCTCATCGTTGTCCCCCACGGTGACACAAGGCCGGTCGCAAGACCAGCTGACCTTGCTGGTGGCCGGAACTCCTCAGTCCGGCGAGGTCTCTTCCACGGCAACATCACCGGCATAGCCGCCGGTGATTCAATCAGCCAGTTCAAGTGGCTGAATCGGCTGATCGGCGATCCCTCCGGCGATCCCGAACCTCCAGCAGCATTCCTTAGTGTCTTCACTCAGCTGTGGTGGCCAGCTTCTCGCTGAACAGCCACCGGATCGTTTCTTTTGACTTGATTTTTCGTTATTAGTTCATTAGCGCGAGATCGAGTCGGTTCTCACTATAGCTTGGGCACTCTATTCTCATAGGTTTGTCGAGCTTTCCGAGACTTCTCCGTGCTGCTCTTGATCCAAATACGGAGACTGGATTGCTCGATTGCGCGTCGAAGCATCATTAAACAAGGTAAGTACACTTGGATGTTATTCTGTAAATTCGTGTACAGAGAAACCTGCATGTTTGAGATGCTGATTTCAGCTCGTTAATGTCGAAATCTTGCAAAGTGACGAACTAGAGAGTCGTAAAACACGTCTCAAGCTTCGATTTGATATATTGCATGCCTCAATCAGACTTAGTTTGCTATGTCAAAACTCTTTCGGAAGTTAGGATCAGAATCTGGAATGTGATATTCAAGTCTGTTCTGATGATTTCCTGATTGACGTTCTGCTGTTCTATAATTTTTCTGATTTTCTACGATCGTTTTTTGAAACAAATTTCTTCATGAAAGTCGTAAAGAACATCTTAATCTGTTAATCATAAAATTTTCATAAAATTCCAAGCATGTTAGCATTGTACGATCTGCAACGTCATATATGCATAGATCTGGTGACAGACTAGTTTCTGACTGACCTTCATGTGTTCTTCGATTTTCATAAATTCATGTGTTCAAAATATGAAAAAGTTTTCTTCACAAAATTGCACACTGAGATCGAGATCTCTCCATTGATACTAATTTCATTAAAATCGGAATTCATTTGAATTTTGAAAAGGAATTTTTATGATCTAATCAGTATCTGTGTTCAGATCTGAATTTCATTCCTTTGGAATCCAAAAGATGTTTCTCCGAATTTGATAAAGTTAGAGTCCTCCTTTGCGAAAAATCAAAATTACAAAGTTGTTCATTGGGGTCTCATTATGTTGACTGAAAATTTTGAGGGCCTAATAGCAATTTTTAGAGGGTCAATTTGCTTAAAATTTCATATAGGGCCTTCTCGGGTTAAAATTTGATTTGAAGTTGAGTCTTTTGTGAAAATCGAATTTTATAAAAATTTGGAGGATTTTTTAGCAAAAACTCAAAACATGAAAGTTGTCACACATAGAGAATCCTAACGGTATAAAATTTTCACGTGGTTTTGATAAGGTTTGTTATTTTTCCCGCCATTATTTTGAAATCCCTACCAGAACCGGGTCCAGCCTGTCACCGAGAGTGTATTTGTCATTTTCGTGAAAATCGGTGAGGATTTAGAAAAAATGGTCTTCTTCACTTTTGATCCTCATGTCATAAGATTTCTAATGACACCTGAATCACTTCATTTAGACATCATTAGGTTAGTTAATTACATATGAACAGAAGCAATCCGAATTAGATAATCACTCAATAAGTGGTCTCCTTATGAAGCCCATTTCCCATTGCTTGATTGGTTGAGAAATAAGACCCATGAGCCTGAATGTATGCTTATTTCATTGCTATGCATGTGTTTGTTAGATGGATGTTAGGCCCAATGTATGTTCGGCGGGTAGCCCATTATGGTCATTTAGAACCCGACTTTAGGGGTTAATTGATATTAGTTGCCGTTTTGTGATGCAAATGGTAACCCATTATCGTTAACCATTAATCAAATAATGTTAGATGATTAGGTGGGTGGTGAATCGAAATGCATGAAAAACAAATGCCGATCCCGAGGCTAGTGCTTGACTAATGAATTGTTTGCACCATTGCTTTTCTTTGGTTATTCCTTTGTATATTGTTTGTCGTGAATGTATGTTGTGAATGTAAATGCCGACACCCGAGAGGCGGTCCATGGAGGGGATAATCCAAAATTGTAAAAGACCAAGGCGATAGACCGATGTCCAATCTGGTCTCAATTTGTATTCACTTGATGGTGACGATAGACCGATGTCCGATCCGGTTTCAATTTGTATTCAATTCATTCGTCCCGATCATGTCTCGGGTTTTCAATTTGTGTTGTAATAAACACCCGACGAGTTGCGGGTTTTACTTTCTCGCACTTAGAATTAGCTCGTCTTTTCAATATTTTGAGTGTTTACTTTACGAAATGTCTTTCAATACAATTGATTGTTTCTTTCTTTTTCTAGACTAAGCTAGGATTAGATTAGAATCTTAAATGAAAACACAAAAAACAAGATGCATGATCACTTAGTGGACTAAAACTTTGACATGAAAATGGTAAAGAACAAATGCAAATGCATGACAACTTAGATAACAACCATGTTAAGTTTAGCGGTACCGAAAGGGCGTTAATAGAAATATTAACGTAAGCTAGTCCTCGAACCTTTGATCTCTGGTTTTCGTAGAAACCAATACGAAATTCCCACGTACTGGTTAGGTATTCTAGCCGACCTCCAACCTAGGCTAGTGGCGACTCCTAAAAAAGAAAAAATTGATCCGCTGTCACGCGAGGTATGAATTAGGGAAGATTCACATTCATGAATAATGGACTGTATGGATCAGCCATCTTTTATGATGTACCGTATAGACCGTTTCATGAACGCTTACCTCTAAACCCGCCTTATCGAGTTCGGCCCTCAAGAGGTAGGCCGCGATAGGCTTGGCGACTCCGCTGGGGACTAGGTTACAAACCTAACTGGATTAAAGCCATAATAAACTTGTCGATTGTTATCTCACTTGTCTACATTTTGTAGCATCGACTGCATGTCGAAGTCGCGTGGAAAATGAGGTTAGTCCACTAACCATGTGTTAAAATGGTTTTGTAGGTGGGAGACATAAGGGGTGGAGTAAATGCAAACCCTTTGTTTTGTAGGTGGCATTCGGATGAATGTCGAATGTATGTGATTATGTTGAAGTGTTGTTTGCTTTAGATTTAAATGCATGTTTACTTGCTTTAGCACGACACAATGCATCCACGTCCCGCGGTCTAAAACCCCGGATCGCTTTAGGGCACCTTTAGGAGGTATTAAGAGTGAAATCCGCATGTGAATGCATGTGGTAATCCATTCTTCAATACCGCTCATCTTGATTAGTAAGAAGTGCACCGATCGACGTTAGTAGTGGTGGGTAAACTCTTCTTATCTAATTAAGGTGGGGACCTTAAACCTTTAGAATCCTATCCTTAGATGTCAAAACTCACATGTCCTCATGCGATGTGTCGATGTGTTTGCCATTTTTTTCATGGTAAGGTTGATTGTATCTTTCTGCAATTTCAATTACGCCATTTCAATGCCACGTTCTATAATGCGTGGTGATTAATCTCGATGCCCAAATTAGGGTTAGTCAAAATGGATATGTCGAAGATTCGGATCATCCCCGTACCTAGAGCTCTCGTGGTCATGTGGGAAAGTCTCGAGTCAAAGCACAAGGACGACGTGGAAAAGAGGATCGGATATCTTCCCGCTCTTTTATACATCGAGCCTCGTATTGCCATGACTAAGGCATTGTCTCATTTTTGGAACTCAAAGACATCCACTTTTGTGTTTGGTCGAAATGAGTTGACCCCTACAATTGAGGAGTACGATATTGCCATTGGAAGAGTCGGGTCTTTTGGTCTAGTTAGTCCTCCGATAGATATAGATCCTATAACTCTTTGAGCCAATTCTTAGGAGTTGACATTCTCCAAATCAAAGGCGTCCTTAGAGGAAATTCCAATGCACTCTCCTTCACATTCTTAGAACGACATTTTTCTAGCTTGCCAAAAGAAGCGGGTAATCAAATTCCTCGAGTCTTTCTCTTAGCATTCTTTGGTTTTGTGGTCTTTCCATTCACCAAAAAGACCATGGATCCTTTGGTAGTTCACATTGTCAATCAAGTGTGTATGTTCAAAAGATTCTCCAATATGATCCTAGGTGAGACCTTCGTATCACTCAATAAATTCAAACAAAACAGAAATGGTATCTTTAGGGCCTTAATAGGTTTACTCCAAATTTGGTTGGTCTCTCACCTCAAAGACTTCGGTTTGAGCTTGAAAATCATAGGTGTATCCAAAGATTGTCATCTTATCTCGCTTTTCCGAGAAAAGGAAGAAATCTTTCCCTAATGGTCATTCTCAACTTGGTTTAATATTTTTCAAGAACCTTGTTCCAAATCAAATCCAATGGCATGTTCGTTGGCTTGGAAATCCCGAAGTGCGCCTTAATAACGGATCTGACAACCCAATCCCACTTTTGGGTCTCACGGGGTCTACGTCATATTACCCTTTTAGGGTGATCCGTCAATATCGCGCCTTCAAAAGATTCCGCCATTCCTCAAGTTGGGGTTATATCATTTTGACTATCGCAAAGATGTCATCCAAAAGGACCAAATGGCGGATTTGAAGGAAATGATCAAGTCCATCATTGATATGTGGTACAAATGCCACCCGGAGTTGATTCTCATTACCGACGAGTCAGAATTGGAAGGAAAAGTGAAGATACATCATGCATTGCCGGAGTACATACACCGTCGTCTCGAGCCCGAGCTTAAAGTGGATCTCCCTAATGTCCCCGAGAAGCCAACTCAACAACAAGCTATAGCCGCAAGAGCTCTTAGGGAAAAGGATAAGGCTTTAGCCGAGGTTGAACGTTTGACCCAAGAAAACAAACGAATTCGCCTCGCACCTAAAGAAGATCCATTAGGAGTTTGGCTATATTCCATGAGGAAATCTTCTTTCATGTAATTTTCATTTTATAGATTTGATGTATAGGGTTTCCTTTTTATTCATGTTAGTAATGAGGTAATAGGATTCTCCTTTTGTTTCTAGATTGATGTATAGGGATTATATTTCACGAATTTCGTTGTAATTAGTGAAATTTCCCTTTTATGTGCTTTCTCGAGGATTCCAATGTATTATAGATGAGGCATCTTGATTAATCATTGCGTGTTACCCTTTCAATTGTATAATTTCTTGTGAAGAAATTTTGATAAGAGATCATTCACATGGTATTGGGATCATGAGAATATTTCTTATCCCTATTTCATCCAAAGAAAATATAAAATTGAAGGGTTTTACATTTTAGTTTCAATTTATTTTCCACGTACTAACTTGATCTTCATTTCGTTTACAAGGTATTTGGAGAATGCCCAACCCCACTTGCGCAAAGGATCTTCAAATGGATATCGAAAAATAGAACGATCGAATTGCCGATCTGGAAAACTGAATTGATGAAATAACTGCCACATTTGCAGACTTTAAAGCGTTCATAACTCCACTGCTTCCGACCAAGATTATGCC